CCCCCCCGCGCCCGCCTCCAGCGTCTAATGGCGGGTCTATCGACGCAGGTAGGTACTTCAGGCTCTCAGTATAGGACTTACACATTCTTCTGGGATAGTTTGCTGATCGCTTCATTGACAGCAAAATTGGGGCTCCTTCCTAAGCGGCCTGTGTCACTGTTGCCTCAGCAGCAGGATCCAACGAAGCAGCGTAGTGACGATGAAGATGAAGAGCTGGATTATGTCGAAAATCCGTTTGAGGAAGGACGGAATTGAGGAACCATCCGAGCAAACGTCAAGTTTGGGATGCCATTTGGGGAGGACAATCTTGGCAGCGTGTATAATGTTCGAGTCACTCTCAGAGATACGATTACTGTGCATGCGTCTGTATGTATGTTGATATAGACTGCAGGGCCGAATATGCCAGTCGTACAATTTGGCCCTACCGGGGCAGCTGTGATATCAAATGATTAATGTCGTAAAAGGACACTATTCAGGTTTGAATAATTGCTGACAGTGACAGTATGGTGCATTGGAGGCATGCTTACTGATCAAAGTGAGTTTTATTCACAGCTAAGGCCTAGCCTCAGTGCTACAGCTGGTCGCAAACTGAGGCTCAAATGGAGTTGTCTTGACATGAAGGATCTCGGTCCAGAGTCCAGACTCAGTTGAAGCAATGTAAGTCAGCCCGTCACGGTGAGCGTACGCGTTGAGCTCAGTGTCAGTTGTATCACTATGCCAATTTTCCTAGGACCTGAGCCCGGGCTAGTACCAGTGATGGCTGCGGTGCTCTTATGTATTATGCGATTGAAACCTGAGTTTAGGCTGCATCGATATTGGTTTCATCAGTTCCTAGTGTTGCTGCATTGAAATCCGGGCACGTTGAACGAGTTGGTACTAGTCGAGCGTTCCTGTCCCTGTAATAGTCATACTGCCATAGGCCGGTGTACCCCGGCGCAGTCCAGTGCCGGGCGCGGATAGGCAGAACGAATATCATATGCATTCTCGAGTTTCGTAACGCCCTCAGCTTTCCTCGCCCCATCCGAATTCTGCAACCTGGGGACAGCGCTGTCAGTAAAATTGTAAAGGCGGCCAACTTCGGCCTTGATGATCCCGGCCATGAGCTCTCCTCGACCTCACGCTGTCTTGCAATGGGGCCTCGCACAGCTTCCACTCCTCCGCCCTCCCAGCGGCCCAGAGGGAGTATTCGACAACATCAAAAACCTCGTTTTCGCATACCTGGTGCTCTCTCGGTCCCTCAAATGTTACCGTCATCTCCGCGCGCGCGGGGTGGTGCAGTCGTTGCAGGACTTCTGGAGATATGTCTCCCAGGTGCGCTAGTTTGCTTATGACAACCATCCCATTTGTGTGCGCAGCTCGATGACACGAATGGTCATTCGTAGGAAACAATCCTTCTTGCGCTCCGTCTGCCTGCAGCGCGCAAGAAGGTCAATGCTGAGCTCGAGCAGGCTCGGTTGGATATTGAGAAGATGATAGTGCCGCAGGGCCCGTCTGTCAAGCGACACCTATCTCTCCCGAGCCAAGGCCAGTCCCCAGAATGGATACGTGAAGAGATGGCCAAGATGGACGCTGAAGCTAACCACACGGCTTGGAGCGGCGGGAAAGTCTCTGGGGCTGTTTACCGTGCGAGCTGCAACATCCTATCTTCGTCAGCTATGTATACTCATCTCCTGGTTGTTCTAGACGGAGGGGAAGACATGACACGCGTCATCCTTGCTGCGATAGAACGGTATGCACTCTCGAACCCCCTCCACCCAGATGTATTTCCTGCGGTGCGCAAGATGGAAGCGGAGGTCGTGGCCATGTGCTTGAAGATGTACAACTGTCCCTCCGGCGCAGGTACCACAACCTCAGGTGGGACGGAAAGCATTGTGATGGCTGTCAAGACGTACAGGGACTGGGCAAAGGCTGTTAAGGGCGTGAAGGAGCCGGAGATGTATGTTCTTGATGTAAAACCTATTATCTTATTTCTGACTCTTTCGAGGGTAGGATTGTCCCTCTGACAGCTCATGCAGCTTTCGATAAAGGTGCGGCGTACATGGGTGTTAAAGTGCATAGCATTCCTGTGGACCCTGTAACCCGTCAGGTCAGCATCAAGCATGTTGCGCGTGCCATGTAAGCTTTTCTATTTTCGCGTCACCGATGTCGTACTCAAATCTTCACCAGTAACAACAATACGATCATGGTTAGCTCTACCCTTCTGCATACACCGAGGTCATATTTCTGAATGTTCTCGAATTTAGATTGTTGGGTCCGCGATCAACTTCCCTGACGGAAACCAAGATGATATCGTCGCGCTTGGTAAACTTGCTAGCAAGTACAACGTTGGGTTGCATGTCGATTGCTGCTTGGGAAGCTTTATCATGCCTTTCCTCGAGGAGGCAGGATTCGGGCCTGTGCAACCCTTCGACTTCCGCGTCGAGGGAGTTACAAGTATCAGTTGTGATACGCACAAGGTCTGCCGTTGTTATGCTGTTACACATCTATAAGCATGCGTACTCATCTGGGCTTCGTGCAGTATGGATTTGCTCCCAAAGGAAATTCTGTGATTATGTACCGCAGCGCAGAGCTCCGGCGTTATCAATACTACGTGAACGCAGAATGGGTTGGGGGTGTGTATGGTAGTCCGAGTGTTGCAGGGTCACGGTAAGTCTTCTTGATCTCTGTACGGGTATTGTAATTGACGAGCGCGCTCCAGACCCGGGGCTCTCATCGCAGGGACATGGGCAGCAATGCATTATATGGGGCATTCGTGCGTACCCGGTCCTTCGTTTATTGATGTCATCTCACTCATCCTTTGTTCTGCATGTTCTCTGTCCAGAGGGTACCTCGAGTCTTGCCGCAGCATAGTCTCAGCTACGCGCACAATTGCACGTCGCATTCGCGAGGAGATCCCTGAACTGCGAATTCTGGGCAATCCGCCTGCTTCCGTCGTCGCCTTTGCCTCAGTCAACGAGCGTGTACTACGAGCGCATGAGATCGGCGACAAGATGTCGAAAAAGGGGTGGCACCTCAATGCCCTCACTAGGCCTGCAGCAATACACATCGCGGTAACAGTACGGTCTAATTCCTCTCATCATGGATGACTGATTGCTGACTTTGCGTGTCGTCTACCCGCAGCGTCTCACCGTTCCTGTGGTGGATCAACTCGTCGAGGACTTGAAGGACGCCATTCGCGAGGCGAAACTTGAACCCACAGGAAAGGGAACGATGATGACTCTGTATGGTATGTTCCTGGTCTATTGATGTCTTGCGAATTCGACTCGCTGATACGGCATGACGACCGTAGGATTGGGTTCGTCAAGCCCAATTGGACCGACCCTAGTGGGACATGTCGCGGCGTTGTTCTTGGACGCGATGTACAAAGCATGAGGAACAGAGGCTGTAAGAGCTTAATTTAATGATGGGCATCAGCTCGCATTATTGGATGCTTTTATTTCTTTTTTCTTGTTCTAGGTGTTTGCTGATATATATGCGTACTTTATACGTATACTCGTACAAGCGTTTACCTCGGTGGAATGGTTTGGGTCTCACGTTGCTAATACGAGATTGTTTGTCTATTTGCTCTCGAGTAGTTTGGCGGAACTATCAGACTGACAACTATCTCTGACGCCCAAAATATAGTCCGACAACTTTTGGAGGGGTATTGCGATATGTTCCGAGCGTGAGTACGTTACACATTATTGAACGTCGTGCAGGGACCCCATGAACATTGAAGCGTCGACATCGTCTCTGTTCAGCGGTATAGTTACGATACCAATCCAGAGCGATGATCATGGAATCTGAAACTGTTCAGATGGAACTCGCTCCGGTTGGGACCGGAGGTTCGAGAAGAGGGTGTCATGGTAAGAGGTCCCGAGCGCGAAATCACCGAGCGACCAATTTGACCTTGCAAGCACCCGGACAACTCTAAACGATAGCGGTCCGAATGCGAGGAACTTGTACACGCCTGAGGTCTGATAGTACTTGTCCAAGCCCGGTCCGAACCGCTTCGCGCCTGATAGGAAACGAAAACAGCTTATCCTCAACGAACTTCTACCGCAGGAATAAGACGGAGAGATAGACGAGCCGTAAATTTGGCAACTAAATCCGAGGCCGTGGAGTTGTCTTCCGAGTCAATCTGGACCATGAATAAGATACGAGTGGAGCACACGGTGGCGCACGAATAGAGTATGTCTCACCCCAGGACAGGGAACCTACCGCGATTGTCAGCGACATCTGTTCGGCTCAGCACCTGAAAAATTTGTCAAATGTCTTCACGCTGGAAGAGCAGAAAAGCTGAATGAGTTTTCAACTTGTGGCCTAGTATCCGTGACCGAGGTCACCGCAGAGCTACGGCTGCAGAGAGGTGCGGTCCTGGTCCTAGGGAGACTCTGATCAGGCAAATACTCACGCAGGAAGATCAACGGAGATGCGAACTACCTGCACACGCCCACAATGACCTGACTGAAGAACGCAGTAACTGGCCAATTAATCGGGGATACGAAGAATTTCACAATTTGTCCTCGATGGACAACGATATGGCGCACGTTCGTCAAACCCCAAGAGGCGACATACTCATTCCGTAGGAAAGCAGTCTGATGGGGAAAAATTTGAGTGACCTAGATACGGGGACAGTATAACGCACAATCAAGGCCTGGGGTGCCACACGGAATATTGTTGTTTGTGCCTCAGGGACATGCATTCGATGCCTACATTTGACAGCGATGGAATGAATCCTGCTTTGGGACTCGCATGAATAATTTATCCATGCATCTAGGTCGAGCTCGACTTCAGCGATGTGAGCAACACCCTCGATGCGGTTGTAGATCTTGGTGCCCTGAACAAACGATACGATTTGGAAGATCAGATACACCTTCCGAGAGTGTGCAGACATAAACCGCGGCGTTATCTGAGAGATGGAGAGATGGACCAGAGGCGCCATGGGAAACCCGAACTCCTCCCCAAACCGATGAGTCGATGACGCTCTAGATCTGGCGGAGTCAATCTCGCATTGCGCATACGAGCCCAGACGTCAGAGGCGAGAACTGCATCGCGACAATTGCCGACCGCTGCATGCTGAAGCTTCGCTTGATTCCGCGTGCTACTCAGAGATAGCACCGCACTCGTATCAACTAGGACGCGTGGAAAGGTCCGTCGCAGAGGCTGGTGGGATATTCGTGATGCCCGTTGCACTGACAGCTTTGTCCTCCGAGCCATCAACTCTGTCTGATTCCCTGGATGGAATGAGGTATAGGACGCGGCCTTCCGCTGCTCATTTCCGTATCCCCCTAGCGCGCATAAGGAACATGAGTACTTGCATGGCGCTGAATTATTCATCAACGCTGTAAAGCCTACATGAACTGCCACCCAGTGGGCGGGGAATGCGATAAATCAGCCTGTGGTTATGAACAGAGCCGTGCGAATGGAATGCTGGTTTGACATGAGTTATCTCACAACGACGTGTCGGCGGCCACCTTGACCATCTCACGGTGGAATAATTGCTAGCGCATCCCTAGATGCGTGCAGACGGGTGCTATGATAGGTATTGCGGCAATGATGACGTTATAAGCAATCGGTGCCGTGAGTGTGCCAGGACGTTGACGGTATTCAAAATTTGACCGGCCGCCTGTTGTAATCTGTAACTTTAAGTGATGGTGTTCCACTGTACGTTTGAAAAAATCACGTTAGAGCTCGGAAGGTCTACAGCAGGAGGCACCAGCGCGCCATGTTGATACTCGTATACTGTTCGGATAAGATATCCAACGAATACGGCCCCTCGCCTGATAGCTGTGTATGGGAACTTGTCGGATGTGGTTACGGCGGAGCCTCAATGTTGAATGGATCCAACGACTCGGTGCTGATGCGGAAGGACTGACAATGCGGCATGGGACGTACGAGCGGCGAGAGTGGTCCTGCTAATGCGACGATAATATGTTTAACAGCTCTGGAGCGAGGTCATCGGCATCATATACTGAATGTTGACCGCAGTGATGTCACCATGCGGCTGGGCATCATGGGAGAGACTCATCGTGAAGGTTTACATCGAGAGGGCCAAAAGGAACAGGGAGATGCGGCTCACCGTGTTACACACGTCCTGCGACCCAAGCTATATGATATTTTCTTGGCCAAGTCCGACCTGACCTGAAATTGGCGGCCGTGGTCTGCACTTAGCACACGCAAGGGCGGCCGAAAGGCGTTGGAATCGAACAGGGTATACACAGTAGCGCAGAGATTGAATTCAAGTGAAAATTGTGCACACTTCAATTCAATCGCTCCTTCGCAGCTTCTCTAAATCCCTACATCGGCTTCTCCTTGAGGCTGCTAGCTGGGCTGGCCATCACGATGCACGGCGCGGGGAAAAATAAAATCGTATACATTACCAGTAGGTTGCGGTCGCGGTGCAGACCTGAATACTCCACCTGGATGAGTCTGGATGGATCAAGCCGACACGGCTGACGAACTTCAGAATGGAGATGCTCCTGCATTGCGCTAGTGCTAAAGCCGCCGGCTCCTCGTCCTAATCCTACAATTTAATGTCTCACGCCACAACAATCCTTGAGTATCTTGAACGTCTAAAATATGTTATCGATCTATGTCGTGAGCGTTATATATGTACATTTATAACCAAGTCATGATGATGCCAGAGATGCAGAGGAATGCGATGAATGTCGAAAAGTAAAACGGGAGTTGGGGTAAGTCACAAATTCGTAAGCTAAACCATCACATTGACCGTGCATGCGCGTGCAACTCAATGCGTCCGAATAATACACTAATTGAACCCAGATCCATTGATGGCGAGAAAATTTCGGGCTACGAGCTGGCGATTGGCGAAGTGAGCGACACAGACGCGGCACCTTGTGGGAGTTGTGGTGACGACATTGGCGGCGGAGGCGTACTCGCGACCGTTCGGGGTACAGGAGGCTGCGCCCGTCGCTGTCTCTGCACGGTCAAAAACATCCCCGCCAGGTCCGTATCACTGAAGCTCCTCTCCGCCGCGCTGAACCCGCTTCCCCGCTCTGCAGTACGCATCGCCGCAGCATCCTCATAGCTCGGCAGCCCGCGCATGCTGGACAACGGCGTAATCCCGCCACCTAGGAACCCCCGGCTCGCCATATCGTAGTCCGGCACTTCAGTGAACGCGTAATGTAGCCTCTGCGGACTCGTCATCGCGCTCGGCTGAGACGGATGAACGACGCCATTCAAGTTGACCATCGACGCGTTTGCAGACGGGGACCCGATCGCTGTAGATACTCCAGATTGTGAATGCGAGTGCCCGTGCCCGTGCAGATTCGTGTGGCTGGTACTACGAGAGCTGAGCGAGAAAGTGTTACTTAGACTCGTGAACGGTTTCATGGCGATGTTGAAGAGCGAGTGCATATTCCGGCTTGCAGTGCTATGGCTATGCACATATGTTTCACCGTGCCCATGTGGGCCGTGCATGCCCCCACTCGAGCTCAGTACCGTCGGCGATCCGCGCTCAGGGCTAGCGGCTCGACTGTTTGCCCGACTCTGTCGACGACTTGGGAAGCGCGACCCATGGCGACTGGCAGGTGACGACTCTGGTGGTGTGCGGCTCGGTGGTGTGGTCCGGGGCGGAGGCTGTTGTGCGGACGCCTCCGGTGCCATTGGCTCTCCCCGCAAGCTCAACAGCAGCTCTGTGTTGACCCACTCGAGCGGCGCCGCGCCAGGTGCGGGATCGTGAGGGAGATGTCGATTGGAGTGTACGCTGCCTGATGGCGGCACAGAACCATGTGGGACTTGCCATGTCTCAAGCACGGCGGGGGACTGCATCCCAGACGAGTGTTCCGATTGCGCAAGGGCCATTGTCGGGCTGATACCTTGCAAGACCCAGGGGTTAACAACCCGCATGACAGCTGAATCGGGGATGTACGCGTTCGCAACGCGATCTCGGACGTGGGATGGGTACGAGGGCAGGTCCATATCCTCCTCTGCGTCATCTTCGCCATGGGTACCGATTGCTTGTCCACCCTCGACGTCTTGTGGGCCGAGTAAAATGCGCCGGGTGTGCAATGTGGCCGCACGTGCCTCTTCGTACAGTCGGTGGTCGAGGACGTGCAGTGGAAGGGAACAGCGCAACTCGGACGTGTGTCCGTCGGAATTTCCGATGAGGATCGACCAACGGATTCTGTGTGAGACTTGTATAGGCTGAAGGACGATCAGTCAGTAAAGTACTCAACCGTGCTGGAAAGACGAAACTCGCCTCTAATCCATGACTGGGCGTCGCATGCGCAGGGACCGTGATGTTCAACGTTGTGACGACATCTACCGAATGCTCTATGAGATCCGCCTCTGTAGTTTCTAGAGATATAGGCGACTGTGGCGGCGGCGGCAACGATACTGGAAGGGTTGATGTTGACTCGCTCTCACTCGACGGGTGCGAGGTTCCGGCAGAACTCGACGGCCGTGGTGGCCGAGAAGAACCGACGCCCGAGGACTGAGATGAGTTTGTCGTCGTCGTCGTCAGAGGCGTGAACTCTGCCGAATTTCGTTGCGGTGATGGTGCGGGCGAGCCTGAAGGCAATGTAGTGCTGCTGTGGCCGTTCGTCGCCGCGGGACCGTGTACTGTGTGCGGACTCGCAGACGTCGAGTGCCGTGTAGTGTGCGCGTGATGGTGGAGGAGTGGGATGCGGTACCGATGGTGCTGCTCGTCTGTACAGACCGCCTCGCCATCGACGATATCATGGCGCGTACTCGAGATGACGCGAGTGCTCTCTTGGATGCCCGAGCGGGCATTGAGTTTGACAGCCTCATTGATTGTCGTAGTCACGTTCAGGACGCGTGCACCCTTGACAAGGGGAGAGAATTTGACGACAGCGGTCACCTTCTCGCCCGCAACCCATGCCTTGTGAGGGATCATGATACTGTACATGAGCTTCTCGGGCCAAGTGTTCTCGATCTCGAGCGTCTGCTGGTACTCGAGCGCCTCGGGACCGAAGCCGCGGACGATTTGAATCGGGTGGAGCGCGGTAAGGTCGCGGTGAGTGATCCCGAAGCCAGGACGAACGGCGGTGGCGCGTAGCTTGTATTGGACGGAGGCGCCGCCAAGGGCGGTGGTGGAGATGGACGACGGAAGGGAGCCACCAATCTGGAGCTGGAAAGGAAAGAGGTGGCGGCCGGCCTTGAGGGTGTGTGCATGAGAGCGGTTGCCTTCGAGGAAGGACCATTCGTGGTTGCAGACGAGGTACGTGAGCTGGTTGGAGCTCAGAGAGAGTCTATTGGGGGATGAGGAGAGGCAAATAGAGATGCGGAGTAGATACGTACGGCTCGGACGCAGACACGGGGAGGCGGGCTTTGCCCCTGAACTGGAGGACGATCTCCTTGAGGGAGGTGGGCTCGGAGAGGTAGAGGACGAGGTTGCCACTGAGGAGGGCGGGATCAACGTCGACGCCTGTGCCGCGGAGGGTGAGGGTATCGGAGTTGACGACGATGTCGAGGTAAGGCGCATTCTTGTCGGCTCTGTCCCTATGCATGTCGTGCTCGTGGGGGGTGTGAGAGCCGTGCTGGGCTCCGGTGAAGGACTGGAGGGCGGAATTGAGTGCGGTCACGAGCGAATCTTCTTCCGAGTGATGCATGTCTGCTCGTGGGGAGGGGGGTCTGGTGAGCACGAACGACATGATGGCGACCGGGAGTTGAACAATGGAGAAGCAGGAGAAAGGAAGGAGATGCAAATGGAAGTCAAGGTCAATCTTGAACAGGGAAGAGTTCGCGGGGGGGCAAAGCAAGAGATCAGACTGCTGGGTAGAACGCCGGCAGGGGCGAGAGCAGCCTGAACAGCGGCGACGGGGAGCAACCTGTGGCGAGCGGTGGAGGTCGAGGATGAGGTCGAGAGCGGGCACAACGCTCTTCCGGAAAAGAAAGACGGAAGAATAAGTATCGGAGCCATCGCCATGAAAATCGCGAATCTCAAGTCGGAATGGCCGGCTCGTCCGCTCCTGGCCTCGGCGTGGCATCCGCCCTCCTGCCTATTCCGCTCATCTCTCGCGTGGCTCCGGCGCTGCCGCCCGCGTGCCGTCTCGTTCCGGGCGGGCAGCCGATCTCTCCCTCTCACTTTCCGTGGCCGTCTTCGCCGTCCCTCCCGGTCCGCGCCAGGTTTCCCTGTCCAGGCCCTCGTCGCTCTGCCTCTGCTAGCTCCTCTGACCACTGCGTTGTGCCGCTGCGGCTCCGTGCATCAGATAATTACTGGCCTCAGCGTCATACTTACAGCCCCTCGCTGTCCCTGAGCCTGATCCGTCTCCTCGAGTCTTATCCGTCCTTATCTCTGCCTCGCTCTGCCTCACCACCATCCTCATTTGCCATCCGCAAATTTGCGTGATACCCGCACGCCCTCTGCAGGTTCCGACCCTCGACAACCTCTGACAGCTTGTTGCGTTTCGTCGCTACCGCCCCGGTCCGTCCGCGTCCGCGCTCATTCCAGACACTCGCCTAACCTATCTTGCGGGCATGTTCGTTGCTGGGGTGTTGCAGTCTCGCAGACACGCCTTTGATCCCACAGACAGCACACGAGAATCTTACGTCGAAGACCAGCCCGTCCACGCTGTCTCACCTGACCAATTATGCGGTCCAGTTTACGTATCGGAATGTCTCCTCTTATGGATCGAATAGGAGAAGTGAAGCGACGCCACAATGTCGATGCCGCCCACATACGCTTGGGGCCCTTCTCCATTCTTCTCTCTTCCACAGGTCTCGCATGCTGTACTCGTACAGTCCACCGTGCGTACCCTAATACACGTCTTCTCTCCCTCATCTGTCTCCGACTTCCAATCCCATCTGGTTCCTTGGTTTCTCAGCGTCTACGTCCCCGCGTGTTCCTCTCAATGTCCCACTCCAGGGCTTCTGCGATGTCATGGCATCGATTTCAAGTCCAATCGCCGCTCGCTCAATGATGTCGACATTTTTCCGGGGGCTTGTCGGGCACAATGACGATCCGCACAATGCCGGATGCCCACTGCCTCGCTCTCGCTCCTTTGTTCGCCTTCCTGTACTTATTTTGCATTCCGGGGTCAGTCGGGTTGTGCCACTTGTAAGTAGCACACCTTGTCTCGGGCGCCCGAGATTAGGGCGGCTTCGGTATCACATTGAGGACTGACGCCGTGCTGCGGTGATGGATTTGTCGGGTTCGTGCAGGGCTGTACCTGCACTTTTACCGCGTCAACCATTTTCACCCTCACCCTGCCTCTTCATCGATATGAAATCCGCACATAACTCTATCTGCATGCCTAAATAAGCAGATACCTGACGACTCGTCGCTGATCATCCCGTTTCAGCCATGTCACCGTCCAGCATGTTAAACATCGATTGTTAAACTCTGGTCCTTAGATCTGTAGCCGCGTGTGCTCGTACCACCACGACGCCCTGACACTATTCATCGCATTACTCATATCAAGTTGTTCAACCACTTCTGGTATCTTATCTCGTCCGGCTCATCCCGAAGCCTCGACTCATTCTCATTGTGGGCTGCTTCATTTAGCATCTTCGACTCCACTGCAGTCTCAGTTCGCCTATATGTTCTGGTCGACGTTTTCCCATCCCTTGCACCGAGTACGTACGGATATGGGAGCTGCAGAATAATACACGCGGGTTATGATCACTATGCTATTCAGTTTGTGGGGCGTGAGTGAGTGATGAGAAGGTCGCGTCTTGCGATGGCAGTCAGAAGTTTGGCAAGGGCAGCGCACCATAACGCCTGCCGGTTGGTTAGGCTCAGGTGCCGGTCTTCTGCAGTATTCGTCTCTTCCTCGCTTCGTTGTTTCTACGACTGCAGAGTTCGCTGCGTTTCCGTGCGCTAGCTTGCGACTGAAGCGGCGAAGAGCGTGGGGAGTGGTTATTCTAAGACTGCGCTACAACAGAACCCCGCGAGTTGCTATTCTTGCTAAGTGCTTCGACCTCTTCATTCGACGCCGCTTGTTCATTTTATCTTCCCTCTGCCACCTGTTCAGGCCACCTGATGGCGCATTTTCACGCGGCATAACATGACGCACGGCCAGCTATTCAGTCGTCTCTGGTTAGCGTGTGTAAATATATGACATACCACGTTAGCCTGGTGGGCACATTTTAAAACTGCAGGTCACATCAATCGCGCGCAGCTCGCAACCAGCATTGTGACCTGTGATCCAGACTCTGGAGTCTACACTTTGTTCAATGTCTTCCCACCGCTCGACCTCCTACGTTGGTAGCCAGCACAATCAGGACGTTGGCATAACCTCAGATGACCACCGATCATAACGGCCAGGCCCGGGAAAGCCATACGTGCTCGGTGGTCGGATTTTTCGCTTCGACAACTGCGCATCGTTTCCATTCTGCAGCATTTCATGCAAGATGTTTGCTCCGAGTCTGTCACTCTTTAACATATCTTCTGTCGACCTGCTTTGCTTCTAATTAATCGAACAACTTGGTCCTGCGTGGCACCACAGATTAGCACTGCTGTAATCATCTCCCGCCTGGACTATGATTGAATCAGAAGCGGGGTCTGAGTGTATACGACGATTAGGCACTAACCTCAGAGCCTAGTCGTGAAGATTGTTGGCTCGTCCACTCCGCCGATACTGATCTCGGCGAAGATCTGTACGATGGTCTTATACTTGTCGTACCGGAAATATTCATCATGCTTGCTAAAGTAACAGCCTTCCCAGTCGTGGCCCACATTCTCCTTTTCTTTCGTGATTGTGCTAAAGATGACGATGCATAGGTTTGTTACTGATGTTGGGATGACATTAATCGCTGCAGCTCGCCAGGAAGATCAGGATACTTACACTCGTCAATGTGAGCGTTCAATAATACGTTATTTCCTCAACCGACCCTTCTAACCCATCTCACGAATACAAGCCGAAAAATGTTGGGGATCATGACAGAGAACGGATCAGATAGTCCTGCATTGACGATTCGATGCAACAGCATCCACAAGGTAGGGCAGTACAATCGTGCAAAACCTACCGATCATGGTCAGAGATTTCCTCAATTCAAGCTAGACCGTGCTGAGCTGTAGATATGCAACTCGGATATGCGTATACTCATAATCGCTGTGGAATCAAGTGCCCTGTGCAGCGCCACGCAACGAATAGACTATACCCACCCATCCCAACTAAACCCCATACACTAGAGGTAAACATACTCAATCAGCTGCCTAAAGGTTTACGAGCTGTATGAATGAGAATAGCAATGTCTTCAATCGTTATATGTCTCTTGTACAAATTGCGCAAATTCGCTTTGATTGCAGACAAGCTGCCTGCATCAGCCTGCAACTCACGAAGGACAGATTCCGTCTGCTGCTTTTCCACGGATTGACCGGTGCGACTCACATGAAAACACAGCGTTCGACTGCTCCAGTGCAAACATCTCAACAGGCGACCTTCTTATAGGATCTCTCCTCGAAAAGGTCAACCTTTTTCGGAGGACAAGCGAAGACAGAGATTCTGATGGTGTCAACATCCTGGTGTGGAGACGGGTCAGCGCGGGTCCGCCTACGTAGTCTGTGTACGTTTGGGACCATGTCGCTCGAGATCATCTAGGGATTGAAAACGAACCTGTAGCATAAAAACACGTTAAAATTCTTCGTAGACGAACGATATGATGAAAATTGTGTCTCCCGATGGGCGCACGTAACTTCTGAGCTAATTTGATCGAGTTGATCGAGTTAGATGAATAGGGATATAGTAATCGATGTTGCTGTAAAAAATATACCAGTGGGAGTGCTAGGCTGCCTCTTGGCCGTGCGCGTTCAACGTCAAAAATCCGCAATGGCCGTTGAAACACAACGCCCACTATTATGTTGAACAGTATGTGCATCTTGAATCAGAGTCGGAACTAACTAACAGTACACATATGGTGGACTTCAAGCTCGCAAGTAAACTCAAGCTTCGAGTCTGCGCAGGGCTAGATTGCGGAAAATTAGCAATCCCGGCCAAGAATTCATATTAAGTTCAGAGTTCAGGCTGCCCAGACGGTCACGGTGGGAAACTGCACTGCTACTTACTACAAATTTTCCGCAGCACCAGAAATATTTAAGGATCGAAACGCGATCTACCGTACATCTTGCTGCTTTGGCTGCGGGACCCTTACCCCAAAGAGACAGTGGATTGTTCAATGATGCACTGAACAGAACAGCCGAGATTATGTAAGGGTAGACAAACGAATCGATAGATAGCTGTGGCGTTCGTTCTTCATCAGCTTGACCGAGTCCGCCAGTGCCCGCCACAACTTCCGAGTCTCAGTCCGCTATACTCTCAAACATTTCGACTTACGATTAAAGTCCATTGACAAGTATACGTGTGCTAGGTAAAGGTGATTTCTAAAGCCTGTAGTTAGTGCCACGCTGACTTAGTATGTCAATCGAGAAGATGAACAGAGTCACAATTCAGAGCGCCACATACCGCGCACTGAGCATATCAGATGCGATTCTTGCAGTAGTCTTCCGCTATGTCGAACAGCCTAGCGTTGTTTATACAGCTCATGGCCTACCTATACTAACAAGAGAAAGAGATATCGCAAGCCTCGCCAATGCTGCCCGCGTTTGCAAGCTATTCTCCGATGCGGCATTAAGTGTTTTATGGGGGGACCTTCCCTCTTTGGTATTCCTTTTCAAGATATTGACCTCCCTCGTAGAACAGAGATCAGATGGAGGTATTGCCTACGTAGGCTCTACAACTCTTCTCTACATCTGAAGGGTCTTATTGCTGAAATGTACAATTGTTCAGGTCCTTCATCAACCGCTTCATGACCAAGAGTGGTTTCGGTTTAAATATTATGCTCGAAAAGTGCGCACATCACGCTTGGTATCTTTTACCACCATCGATTCTTCAGTCTTCTCTCAAATTCGCCGCCGGTCGGGGGGACAGCCTATTCTACCTGGCATGATTTTGTTTCGGTGGGAACGGAATCATCTCTCTGAACTGAGTCGTCTACCAGAGTTACTGTCACAGTCGCTGCTGATATTGGAGGTCTATCTCGGGCAGAATCAAGCGGAAACTAACGCGTACGATTCCACCCTGGGTTATTTCTTTTCGAGCCTGAACTTGACATCACCGTTCTTGCGTGAAGCATATCTACACTTTTCATCATGGTCGTACCTTGTGCCGAGTCTAGCAGGTTTCACTCGTCTTCGTACACTTCAAATCACACTCATCGACGGGCCGATTGCGGACGCACTGCGCTCCTGCGCCTTTCTAGACAATCTTTTGGATTTTTCCATGGAAATGTCTCACCAAACATTGGGTAATGAAGCTTCTGTGGCCGTTGCTGAGACGTCTGGTTTCCGACGACTACAACGCTTGGCTCTCATTGGATCGACGGACCTAGTCAATGCCATTCTCCAGTGTATCTCGTCCTCTAATCTGTCATCTATTGCTATTGATTATAATTACTGGGGAAACTGTCATGCTGAAGACATCGAAGTTCATTACCGTATCCTCAATTTATTTGGGACCAAATTCCACCTCTCACTTCGCAAATTGAACATCCAATACAGCTTCATCTATTTCGAATTGCATACACCTTCCTTGGAGTCCTTCCTCTCGCCCTTATTTCCCATTCAGGGTCTTGAACGGCTGACATTTGATGTGAGACAAGTCATCTCATGCGGAGATGAGATCATTCGTCTTGTAGCAACAACATGGCCGAGAATACAATATGTTTACATCGAGAGTTTCCCACCTGTGGGCAACGAAGACGTACCAACACCTTCTATATCTACCCTCGTCAACTTTGCGCATCACTGTCCTGAACTACGCTACCTGCATTTTACGGGGCCTTACTTCCAGCCTCCTCTTTCGGACAGTGCTCAAGAACATACATCAGACCCCGAATTTCCTATGTCTCATGCACTGCAGGTTTTGTATCTCGACATTGATCCTGATCAATCGTTAGCATCCAGACTGGAAATCGCAAAATATATTGACAGGACCTTCCCCCATCTTCAGTTTCCCAAAGCCAATGTGGAGAAAGTATCCAGTATGGATAGTGATGATGATGAGTCAAACGAAGGATGGGTCAGTCTAGAATTGATGGTGCTTGCACTTCAATCAGCTAGAAGAACTCAAGCACAGCGCAAGGTGTGTCGGAAACATAGGTCTCACTCACTCACTGACCTTGGGTTTATCTAGGACGAGCCCCAGGGAACCCACCATAACGACAGCCTAGCAGACCTTGAATTCGAAGAAGAGTGGCTTGGTTTAGAGGTTTAGAAATTGTCTATTGATCTAAGCTGAATCTGGCATGTACTATACCAAGTGAACGGCATCTTCTCTGGTGGGCAGTTTTTAGGTCATCGCGCGCCAGCGATTCCGTGGGCTTGAGCTGGAATAGCTCGGACAATGCCCTTAATTGTGAGTAGGCATCGTGTAAGATTTTTTTTACTTGAGGCGACCGCAGTGCCTCCTTCGAATAATACCTACTATTGATGTCCACACACGATGGAATTCATATTTTCACATACAGGAGGGTGGTACTTGAATGCGAACATATCGTGACGCCAACTCGCATTAAACCCTCAAGAATTGATATGAGTGAATTTTGATTCAGGTCGACGAACTTTGATCCTACCAGCGATCTGCGCTGTATGCGCGTATTTGCTATTGGTGGCGACCATTTTACATTTCCATTGCTACCGTTGGCGCAATTTGTTGTCGAGACTTCATAAGAGCTCGACGCAGGACCTCATCCCATCACCAAACCCTCTTCGTGACTCCTCTCTTCTTTGACAATTCGCCATGGCACCCACTCTGAATGTTAAAGGAAGTGATTCCGGGACAGCGCGAATCCTCGGTTCGGGTGCCTCAGGTCTGCTATACACGTCGGACGCGCCTGAATTTGTGCACTGACGTTGGTGTGCTCAGGTGTCGCAGAGCTACTGGTCTTCCACCCTGTGGACACTGTTTCGAAGCGACTCATGAGTAACAAGTCCAAGGTAAGTGAGAACTGTCATACCGGTATTGGGACTCATCCGTGCGCAGGTGTCCTTTTCGACACTTTCCGCCATCATATTCAGAGACTACGCTACAGCGCCTTTGGGGAGAAAGCTGCTCTCGCTTTTTCCTGGTCTTGGTTATGCTGCGGGCTACAAGATCACCCAACGTATATATAAATATGGTGGGCAGCCTTGGTTCAGCGACATTCTTTCAAGAAACTATAAGACGAACTTTACGAATACATTTGGGGAGAGAAAGGGCAAGATGATGCTCCAGGCGACAGCCGGAAGGTCCGTTATGTCATGTCGTGTATGTTCGAGCGCTGACGTTGCGACAGCTTGACTGGGATTGGTGAAGTTGTACGTCATACCCTCATGTATTCCTTAGAACTTGTTGCACTCATTGCTCGCAAACCATGCCATATCTCGCAACGTTTGCTTGGAATATTGGACCCCGTTGATGTTTATTGTCGTTATTATAGGTTCTCCTTCCTCTGGATGCTCTCAAAATCAAACGCCAAGTTAACCCCGAAGCATTTAGGGGGCGAGGAGTGATCCGGATTTTCATGGAGGAAGGCACTACTCTTTATCGAGGATGGGGATGGACAGTGGCGCGGAATGCGCCGGGCAGCTTTGCAGTACGTGTGTCATGGCTGAGAATATTTTAGTACCGTGCTGAATACCCCAACCCAGCTTTTTGGTGCGTCAGCAGCGACGAAGGAATACATGTTTGGTATCCAGGACTACCACAAGGCGACTTGGGGACAGAATTTTGTTGCCTCAGTTGCTGGAGCGGTCGCATCCATCACTGTCGCTGCGCCTCTCGACACAGTCAAGACTCGCATTCAAAACGCCAACTTTGAGAGCAAGGTTAGCGGCGTCACGGTTGTGAAGGATCTAATCAAGAATGAGGGGCCGACAGCCCTATTCAAAGGCCTTACACCTAAGGTCAGCTCATGGATTTTAAAGCGCGTTTGGCGTGCGTTAATAAGCCTCATGACCACAGATCTTAGTTGTCGGCCCGAAGCTTGTTTTCAGTTATACCCTGGCACAATCACTCATTCCATGGTTCTCCCAATATGTCTAGACTACACCTAGATGAAAATGGACATGTCCGGATGATAGGCAAGACGCTACGTTTCCTTGGGGGTTTGTATCCAAAAAGCAATCTGCCGTTATTGCACACACTAGTCTCGTACCCGATGCACCGCTCATAGACGACTACATATATATACCATCTAATGTATCTGAAAACAATTTTTTAATGGATGAGTCGCCTGTGGTCCAACAAACTTGCTCACCCTTCAACGTCGCATTTCGGAATTCAAGCTGATTTCTTAGGCTAGCAGCTAATTATATTGGAGTGGTCTGACTGTACTTGCCTCGATTAGTATCATGAGTGACATAGCGAGAATTGTGCAATTCGGACGGTGTTCTAGGTTGACTGGGCGCTTCGAATACTACGAGTGGTTTAGTATGACTACCCCAATTTAGATCAGCCTGTAGAGTCCGAGTCAAATATTAAAACCACCTTCCAACCACTAGGACTCGAGAGGCAATTCAAAGACTTGAAATTCCGTAATCTTCTGCCATTTCAACGCCCTCGGCTCGTGTACACCTAGTTAGGTTTATATGACACCAGCCTCTTGTTTGCCACTTGCTGTACGAACCAACTCGAGACACCCATCATCTACGCGCTTTTTTAATTAATCTCAGCAGCAACGATATCATAGCCCATAAATCGGTCTAGCAGCTGGCTATTGATGCTTACCCTATTGGAATCAAATTATGACTAGCTTCGAAGACTCATTCAACTCCAGCGTGCTCGAGGTGATCGCGCCCCAGTCGTCTCTGGAATTTCCGACAGACTACACAGGTAGTAAGGCAACAGAATGGTTTACTCGCCTCCACACAGAATCGACGGATAGAAAGGTTGCATTCTTCGGTGAGGTGTATTCACCATTCTGATGTGACTATGCATTTGACATACGGGCACTGTAGACGAAAATATCGAGTTCATGCTAGTTGCTCGCTTTCCAGACCAGCAAATCGATGTAGAATCGACTGACGTTGCGTCATTGAAGCCACCTGTTGACCTACTGTTCTTCCTAGCTCACCTGCAAATTTCATATGATACTTCATATATCTCCTCTGCCGCTCCTACCGATATCAGTGCCCCGGAAATCGGACGCCCACCTGTCCCTCCTCGCACTACCTCCATAAATAAAAGTAAACCTGGTGCGCTCCTTGCTGCTGCCCATCCCTCTATTTTCCCCCCGTCGACTCCCCATCCCATACCTTCTGCTGCCGAGTCCGACCGTCAATATGTCCAGGCACAGGGAACACCTCTCATCTCGGGGGTATGGGGAGAACAGCCCATGGGGTCTATACGAAGTCCCTCCGATGGATTTGCTCTACTATGGAACCAGGAAGGGCATGAGTGGGTTGCGCTATATCAGATGTCGGTTCTCGTACGTGCGTGTTACCTCCTTAGTCCAGGCACGCACTATGACTGATTTATTGTAGGCTTTATGACCACGAAGTTCCCGGATCCTCTCCTATCGCTGACTGTATCAGCCACCCTTCGCGAGAAGCCACTTCCTATCACACCAGCTCGTCGAGTCCTCGCAAATTTTATCGAGGACGCGGGCGGCTTCCCTCGTATGCTCGATTTGGCTTCACCTATTAAGGCTATAGGCGGTGATGATGGCCAGCCGGCTGAGGACATCGACGATTTGATAACGGGATTTGTGGAGGTCAATCTCTTGGAGGGTCTGCAGGCCGGTAGGTTCATATCGCCTTCGTCTCGTTATAATTACGGTAGGATGACCTCTGTGCTGTAGATCCTTCGTTCTTGTCGGAATCTCAGCCCCCGTTGCATCTTCCTTCTACGCGTCTTGGCCCTGCTACTCGCCGTACCGCGTATGCACTACCTCCGGACAGTTCCAAACCTTTTCCACCGATACAGAAATTAACTAATAAGGCCTTGCCCCCTATATCCACGGCAGGAAAGAACAACAAATTGCCTGTCGCTCCTGCAGGAGCGACATTTCGAAAGTCGTTTCGCAAAACAATGAAAATTGTGTCCGGCTTCCATGTCAGAATGCGCACAGTATTCGTACCGTACTTCCTACTTCCGCAGAGTGGCTCGCGCAAGAATAAGAACCAACGATCCGTCTACGCAAACAGTACAATCACGGGTGAAAATTCCGATAGCGAGGATGAAGCAGCGCTACACGAGCGCGAACTGCGTCAGGCTGGGAACGAAGAGCACACCGTAGTATTATCGGTCGAGATCGAGAATCAATTCCAAGATATGCCTACACAAGGGATACCGAATTACAGCTTTCAGATCGAGCGTGCCGATGTCTCTGTTAGCGGGTCAGGCGCAAAGACAGTCTTCGTCGGCTGGGGAGATAATGAGGACGTTTTCCCTGTTCGCATCGGTCCTCGCGAGCAGATCAACTTGCTGTACGCTGTATCGTTTTTACGCGCTCCAGAAGTCGACGAATTCACCTTGAACGTTCCTCCGAAGCCAGGGGGAACGCAAGGCGTAGAGAAACGCGCGAGTATGGTGGATGAAGCCCAGGAGTTGCAACGTGCTGTCTCCATCAATATCAGCGTGCGACCTTTCGAGCGGACCTTTGAGACCGCCCCACCTCCTGGATCAAGTCGCACGATGAGAGCTTCTACATCGGTGCAGGACGGCCCTGTGTTATTTCCAACACACACATACCAATCGTATTGGAGCTGCAAGTTAAATTTCTCTTCAGCTACAACCTCCACTTCTAATCTTGAAGTTGGTTCCTCCAAGACCATTGTACTTCCTACACCAGCCTCACCTTTCCCATCCATGCCCGTCTCGGCCGTTCCGGGATCGCCCTTTGCGCCTCTTACAACCTCCCGACCTCCATTCTCCTCGGGACAAGCAATTGCTGGTAGCAAGCGCTTTGTTTTCAGCTCTCTGGACTCTCCTGCGCCCGACCGCCAGCTGCAACAGGTGCGATCGCCCGTGAATTACCAGGGTCCGACAGCCATGCTCAATCCCGCCAACCTACCTGAAGTCCAATCGGGTCCGAGCACACCTACAGCTGGATTTGTCAGTGGGACTGGTAGTAGATCTGCGTATGTGTCCCCTTCGGCAGCAGCAACCTTCGTCCGTTCACCTACGACGTATAACATACCGAGCCCACAGGACCCGTATTTTGCTTTCGCCACTATTGGTGCTGGACAAGGACAAGGTCTAGGATTCGCAGAAGCCGTTGAGGAGGAACTATCCCCACCACGCACTCCCGCTTATCCTGCTTATCCGGGTTCCCCATTGCCATTGCCCGCGACACCATTTTGGCAAGCATCAATTACACAACAATCGGGGGTTGGCCTGGTGGTGCCTAGCGTCGACATGAGGCGTGATCGTGGTGGCGCTCCTTTGCCGACCCCAGGGTTGACTGTGTCTGGATTTCCAATAGGGATGGAGATTGGCGCAGAGGTGGACACAAAGATGAAGGCAAATGGGGAGCCCATCGTTGTCTCTATTGGCCTGCTTCCAATCGCGCACAAGGGGAAAGACAAGGTGAACATGTATGCACAGGATATGATCTACCCTCTGGATCAGTTCACGCTGGATATTTTTGTATATAATCAGTCGTCGTGGACACGACGATTTGAGGTGAGTTACCCCGATGAGAGACGACGACGACGCAAAGGTCGTAGCAGGGGAGATGCTAACTCACCTGGTATTTTGCCATTGGAGAACCGAGTGCGCGTCGGGTAAGTTGTATCTTTGCAATCGGATAAAAAATTTTGTTCATGATTTCACTTTGAGACCGCTATTACCATCCACTTGTCAATCGGTTCGCATGGATTTCCTAGCACTCACCCCTGGAGTTCACTCCATAGAGGAGCTGATTTTGATGGACACTCAGACCGATTATACGATGCATCTTGGGTAGGCCTCTCTCGACGTCGCGCCAAATAGACAAGCTGATTTAGTTATGTTATAGCTTTGTCATGGATATAGTAGTTCATGAGCCACCAGACGCTGGTCCTGCGGTGCTATAGAAATAAAATGCTTCCTTCCTTCCATTCATCCTCACGATATTATACAAATACAGCTTAGAGGTTGTCTCAGGCCACTCATGATATATGAAGAGAACACACTGGAGGATAAAGAGTGTTATACCAGATAGTACTAAAATTGTGACTGACGGAAGCACTGCCATGTGACACCTTCAAGACCACTGGCCCTTGTCCCAAGCAGGATCCTGCAAGAATGCACATAGGACCTTACTTCCAGTCTGAGCCAAGCATGGTCATGACAGTGTCACTTGCTTATGAGAGAAAATACTCACCTGTAATAGAGGATGTCCTGCAACCACCGTCAAAAAGCGCTCCAAACCCTCGCGCCTGGACTCAATGACTTCGTCTGAGAATCGGTTGGTGAAGACTTTGCCAGGTAGGGCGGGAATGTTGACTCGCGTTGATTCATGTTCCAAGATATCGCGAAAAGCCTCGAAGTCGGAATATCTCCGGCGCACAACGGAATGACGCAATTTGAAGGCAGGAATGTTAGTCTATATAACAGTGGATGAGGTCTTGTGCGTAGTATAGTGCAAACCACATCATGCCTTGCACACAATCTCATAATCGGTGTACATCTTCCGCCCGAAGCCTACGATAAGCACGTATGAGTAGCTGCAATCGGAGTCGCGGATTAAGTCGCGCACCATGAGTCTGTGGGTTGCGGACTTCGATTTCTAAGAAACTCTCCGGCACACTATACATTTCCTCGATCTGTGAACGCGACGCATTTCCTGTTCAAGTTCATGTCCCCGGACGCAGAATAATGTGTTTGACAACTCACAGTCTGTTCGCGGCCACCCAGTCGGGGCTCATCAAAAACACTGCTGCGTGCAAATGGCGAGACGGTCGTCATTATATAGCTTAGACTTGCAAGAAAGTGTAGCCAAGTCACTGGTGGTAATTAACAAGAGGTGATTGGAACTGAACAGCTTTCTTCGCTTAACCAGCGCAGTTTCACCTGACTGTGGGAACATTGACTTAGATAGCCGCTCGTGTAGGCCTCGGTACTCAGTGCATGAGGGCGCGTATGAGCGGGCATATATGTAGTCTCATACCATAATCGTTACGCGTAGGGCGTAGGAACTCCGTGACGAACATGTGTCGAACTTAAGCACATCTACGCTAGAAACTCAAACAGCAATACTAGAATGGAGATCACTTGCAGAGAGACAAAAATGGCAAAGCAGGTATACAATGAAACCAGAAGCATTGGGACGTAGGTCTTGCTATACATTTGAATCCAGAGCGCACAGCAGGCATGCGATGCAACCAATTCTCAGAGTCGTAGATGTGCAGATAGATAGATACAGGCATTGAGATTCAAAATATCACTTGTACATTCGAAAGTATATCTATCGAAAAAGTGCATCAGTAGCGGTGTTCGTCACGAAATCAAGAATACGGACCGTTTTAGCTGCGTGTTTGTACACTGTATCTTCGATCTTCTCGACTATAGCGACCATTATACTGGCTTGGAGAACGTGGCTGAGATATGCGCGACACAGGATCGCGCCGTTCGTACGAAGGGTATGTCTCTGGTGCTCGCTCCCTTGCATCAACATAATCGCGATCGCGGACCATATTACCAGCAGGCGCCGTAGACCCCCCATAAGGCGGAGGTGCTCGCGGATCGTCGAAGTAAGGCGCACCCGCAGAAGGCGATGAGCGCAAGCGCGGAAGGTCCTCAGGAAGCGGGCGAGGCTGATCGACGAGTGTGTAATAGCTAGATGTGTATGTGTCTTCACGAGGCCTCTTAATGGCGGGCCGCAAGTCTGTCACTGCACCTTGTCGCCTGAGTGGGCTTGGACTGCGGGCTCGAACGCGAGAGTATGCGCCAATGTCAACGGGGGCATACCGCGTACGTTCCAAGACATCCATTCCAAATTGATGATCGTCGCGCGTAAAGTCCTCACTCAAGCGAGTACCAAGAGGACGCTGCTCGAATGCCCGCGATGTAGTGCTGGTCGACTCTATAAGTGGGAAGGAAGAGGATATCCTGCGCTCACGTTCTTCTCGCGTCTCCCAACCATTAGCTCGAGCAGCAGGGTCTCCATCTAGATAATTCTCTCTTTCGTAATCACGTATAGGACGGTCCCAATGGCGGGGGGGCATCGACTCCCAATCACTTGGGTAATCCGCACGCCGATTTCGATCATAGCTATGCGGATCAACAGGACCACGCCGTGCAGACTCTTCCGGATACGTCTCATTGGGCGACCATGTACGCCCACGAGAAATGTAAGGGTCCGCAGTATCCGCTACAACAGGAGATGAAGGTCGGCGATATGACGACGCAAACCGGCTTGCCGGTGTATCGACATCCATCACATTACCACGACGGTCATTAGTGTATCTATCTGGCTCATGACGATAGGAAGGGCGTGGTGGCTCAGCCGCCGGACGGAACTCACGTAGCTCAGATCGTACCGGAGAATGCGTGGGCGAGTGCGGCTTGAAAGCATTACCGCGTGAGGAATCGCGAGCTACTGAGGCAGCACGAGATGTAGGTGCATTAGAGTAGATGGTCGAGCGTGGTGGCCCACGATCATTTGCATGTTCAGTGGGACGGGAAACACGATCTGAGACCAGAGGTCGTCCACGGTCGTCGGGACGACGATCACGTTCAGACAGTGAACCAAGTGCAGGTCGGGCAGAATCAGCTAAGTGTACATTCCGGTCTTCGACGGCAGCAGGACGAGCAGAAGCAGAAGCAGAAGCAGAAACAGAAGCAGGAGGGGGCATTAAAGTTCTGGCAAGACTATCATCAGTAGGCGGTGGGCGGGGCCCACGATCTTCTATACCAGCAGGCGCGTGAGACAAGCGTTCTTCGAGAGTGGGTACCACCCGACGATCTTCTGACCGAGGCGGGTGACTCCCATGCTCTGTACGGGAAACAGGCGGGTGGCTCACCCTATCGTCTGGTCTACTACTACTCGAGGCCAGACGCTCTTGCAAAGGTGGAGGGCGACTCAACCTGTCTTCGAGGGGTACAACAGATCGCGGCTTTGGGTCATCTTGACTTGGTTGCTGTCGGATACCACGATCGTCCAATGGGGGCCGGGAAGTGACTACTTCGCTCAAAGAGCCAAGAGGGACCCGAGTGTCGCGATCTTCAGTTACGGGGGGAGGGGGACGACGCTCCTCACCTGGCGGCCTGATTGCGCGGTCTCCAGATGGAGGCAACGGCGTACGACTGTCATCAATAGGAAGACGGGTTGATCTATCCGACACTTGCGCTGGGACTGGACGACGATCATCGCTAAGTCTTACCTGTCGATCTGAAACAGAAGGAACAGGACCACGTCGGTCATCATTCCAACCAGGCGGTGGCGGGCGACGGTCATCGGAGACTCTCGTTTGTCGATCGTTCACGGCAAGTAGAAGGCCTGGGGTGCGGCGATCGTCACCAACAGGCCTAGCTTGGCGATCCGCAATCGAAGGTGGGGGAGCCCTGCGGTCGTCATACGGTCGACCCACTCGGTCACCAGGAGTAGGAGCAGGAGCAGCAGACGAAGGCAAAGGCCGACGATCATCAGGCTCTCGTGGGCGGTCTGATTGCGGTGGAGCAGGACCACGACGATCTTCAGCAGGCAAAACCTTAGTCGGACGTTCATCCGTAGAGGATGGTCCAGGTGGGCGTCTATCCTCAAAAGACCGCGTTGAAGCATTGTCAGAATGGAGTCTGTTGATAGAACGTTCTTCGCCCAGTGAACGAGTCGGACGATGTTCAAGGGAGCTTCGATCATCGGAAGGAGGAGGTACCCTCACTGGACCATTTGATGAATCGGAAGGTTTCGTATCATATCGTCGAGCATCTGCCCACCGAGATTCGTATGGTCTTCGAGTGTCCGAAACACGAGAACGCTCGTCACTTCGCTGGTCGTCTCTATACCGCGCATAGTCTGAACGCCTATCTCGGTCTCTGTCACGTTCCCAGTCTCTATCCTTATCCCTATCGCGTTCTCTGTCATGGAATCGCGGACCAGGCCCAGAGCCACGTGCATCCATGCTAACGGCATTACTGGGTCGCGCTTCCCCACCAGGACGGCGGTCCGAATCAATTCGTGGCTTGTCAGTCGAGCCATTGCGATAGGGCCAAGTATCCCGGGACTGGCGAATGTCATCCTTACTATCATAAAGGGAGGACTTGGAAGGTGAAGCGCTGAGAGGCTTCTGAGCCGTTGTGGATTCGGCAGCTAGAGACCTGTCCGAGGTTGTACGCCCGATGGACTTTGAATCAGCTTGCTGATAACCAGAATGTCCGGAGCGCGATGTGTCCAAAGTTGCTTCAGGTTTATCATGCAAGCCAGCAGGGGAGGTATCTGAGGCAATAGGACTATTCTCTGACTTGACGCGTATCTCATCGTTAGAAGGCGGTGTAGGAAGGCCCATGCTAACGTCGGATTTCGAGGAAGGGAGTGTCGACTGAGCTACATTCTGTGTAAAGAGGAAATTGGAGTTAGCATGCAACACGATAAATCGAAGACAATAGCTATAGCACATTTGAATCTGACTGCAAATCGCTCACAGAAGGTTGCGTCATCATAGGATTTCTCTTATCATGCCGCAATTCAATGTCTTGAGGCTGAGTCCGGTTGTTCCGGTCAGAAAAACCACCGTTTATGTCGGCGAAAGAGCCATTGTCAGCAAGGTGGCCGTTATGGGGCAAAGGCACATCAAAGCCGCTATGTTGATAGTCTGGGGGTACTTGTTCAGGATGAGGAGGCACCTGTCCAGAAGAGTTGGGACCCATGTAGAGATCCGCGAGAACAGCAGGTTGTGGGATAGCCCTGAAAAACTCATGCTGGCCGTTTTTAATGGATTCCTTAAGTCTCTCTAGCACTTCCAAGTCATTCTGACCAGGCATCCCCTGCGATGGAGGGGGAAAGAATGGCTGAGAACGTTGTGGCGCGAAAGCAGGAGCTGCCAGGGGAGCCATGTACCCGTTGTAGGCAGGGAAAGTAGGGAAGGTATTGAACGCAGGCGAGATATTTTGAGCTCCGCTAGAGCCTGACAGGGCGATAGGAAACGGAGGAGACATGATGTTGCCAGCAGGTTCTTCAGGAGTAGTTGGGATTAGAAACGAGCCCTCTGAGCCGTCGGTGAGTGTGGTGACAGTGCGTTCGCGATTGATCACATTGCTGCGCCCCTTCCTCTTCTTGTTTTGCCTTGTCGACATCTGTTTTCCTCAGATAATCAGCTCGATAACCGCCCCATGTCCTACCAACACCCACGATCAGCTCAGGATCCTTGACAAACACCAGGCAAACAGCAAGCAGGAACTGTGCGAACCACGCGAAAACTCACTGCAGCGAGCAGTTGATTATCGAAGATTCTCCAAAGTCACAAGGTAGCGGCACCATCCGGCTGACAGTTGGTAATCCTCAAATGGAAAACTTTCCTCCTTAGGTTTGTTTCTAACAATTTCTCGTTGGACTCGGGCATTCGGCCAATTGCAGACTGCAGCAGTTTATGTGACATAACCACAAGTTTATCTATTCCTTCCGAACGCTTCAATATCAAGAATATTCGACTTCATCCGGCTCCGAATCCTACCGTTACTTATACAATTTTGCGGCAGTAATGTCATGCAATGAAAACACTATATTTTGCTGATTCCGGAGGCCGCTACTGTATCGAGTTGGAGACCTCCAGTGTCCCATAGCAGCTTGCTTTTGAATTTTCAACGACTCAGTCAAGTAAGCATATACTGATGTCGCTATTCTCCTCACGTTCAGAAGACCGCTTCCAGTGTTGGCTTAGGGAGACTAAGTAAGCATCCTATCATGGCATTGCTTTAAACGCGCTGAAAGTTGTTTGCCCACGTTACACTAGGTGGTGAGGTCGTTGCCCCGCCCGCATTCTTTTGTGCCTGTGTTCAACCAATTCGACAACCCCGCATGCATCTTTGTAGGATTCTCGGACGTACTGAAGTTCCGCCTTTCACCCCTCCTGTTCATTAAACGCGGCTAGGCTAAGATTCTTAATGGCGTCGCTCGGTCTCATCGGCTGCTTGCCACGCATCTGAAGTTATCTCGAACTCGGGTCCGTCTGTAGGCGTGGTGACGCAGAGCTGCTCTTTGTTTGCAGGAACATGAAATAGATAGAAATCTTGATGATTAGTATTTCATACAAAAGGCGCCCCAGGCAGTCCTATTTAAGCGTCTCGCCTCAGCGGTGCATCATCGTTTCGAACGCGGTATCCGATTGACGACTATGATTTTTAGAGCGGGTTGAGAACTTTATGACCTCCAAAGCAATTTGAAAGTGCTATTGCGCCAAGAGTTACAACACGTGTGTATCGCTCATCAATACCAGACGAGTCGCAGTTCGTGAGCAGCCGGACACCATCTCTATTTCCAACGCTGCAGCAAGTGATAATTAATTATAGCGCAAGCCACAGGTTATATATGTGGGCCGACGGCTTATGCACGCCGTTCATAATGGTACCCATATCTACACCTAGTCCTTCCCCCATATGATAGCGTACCGTCACCTAGAGTCCTCGATAGAGATAACCCAGTTGTATTAGTTCTTGTACAGACTGTTTAGCACCGCGTCTTAGCATGTTTTTTTGTATACAAATGCTGATTTCGTCATCATTATCATCGATGATGACACTCGTTTTCGAATACCATGTTGAACTCGTTCAAAGCAGCGAGTTCTACAATTTCAAGTTGGAATAGATGTGTGCTCATCCTAGTATTCAACCACCTCATACGTTCTGCCAGCGCGTGCTATTTGCCTGATTACGTCCCGGTAGGGCTTCCGCGCACCTTTGATGGGATGAGCTTTGGAGATGGGCTTCAAGTTGAGTTATGAAGCTATTGGCCAATATTTGAGAGTCATCGATGCCAAATTATGCACATATAATCAAGCGATTGACTGGTGGAGGAAATTGGTGGGAATAATTTTTCGGAGCATACTGGGCCATTTATAAGCTACAGGCATCATGTTTCTTCGCAAGTATCTAGCTCCAGCTTCAAAGTCTACAGGATGCCATTGAATCAATCCCTTAGGAAGTTGATAACAATATGGGCAGGTTAGCGAACTCCTCAATCGAGGCTGAAAAATCAAATTCAAGCGGAAACACGTGAATGTCGCGCCGCCGACGCCTACAGTCACGTCAAAGTCACGTACATAGCGGTGGTGCATGTGGCGTTCCCTAACATTATCATTTCTACCTTACTGCTAGCAGATGCTGGGCTTACTCCCAACCGTAGCACCAATCATAAGAAGACACACAAGTCTACCGTCTAGACAGCGTTTCTTGCGATATTGTCTCTTTCTCTCTCTGGACATCGCACCATCTTGACGGTCATGATGTCTCACGGTGCTTTGTCGAACCCGTGGCAGTTTCGTCGCAATATGCTCGCAATCAACCGTACGAAGGGGGAACTGGTTTATTATCTTTCAGGCTATATTTATGAGAAGCTGGATAGATCTAGCGAGCGCATATATGTATAGGTGTGAACCACTCGTATGTCTAACGCGTGCGAGAGGAACGAGAAGCTATTCTTTTGAGTTTCTTATGGCTAGCTGCTGGTTAGGAGATAACCCTTCCTGGAGCGGAGTATTCATTTGGACATTTTTCATGTTATAGGTATGTGGTAACTGAAGCATATATGGATGCCATACAAAACCCTACGCCCTATTGTTACTGACACGCATATATGCACGTTGCTTCGTTGCAGGACGTTCAGCAGGCTCAGAACGCGTCCCTTCTGTCCTTGTGCAGTGGCTACATGAGATGCACCATCCAACATGACTACATCGCGTAAAGCTTGATAATCGTCTGTGGGTGGGGTCGGACGTGAATTAGGTGTTGTCTCAGTTGTGTCAAATATGGTATGCTCATTAGGCCACATTGGCTGTACTAAAGTTTATATCAACGACTCCACAGGGATCTTCCCTCTGCCCGTGGGCACCTGTCGGCGTACTTCCGTAGCGCAATCCCATGCTACTCCGATGCTCTGGTCGGATCTTGTCGAAGACCTGGTCTGCTGCTCAATGGCTAAGCCTTGGCGTCGTGCCTCGAGTGCACTCGGCTGCCCACTCTCGTCGAGTCTGTTTCCATGATCCTCATGCCTCGGGACAGAGGCTGTCGACACAGTTGGAACTCATTAGCCAATCATACCATGGTGGCCATCCTACAGGCTGCAGGTCCGATCCAACTGAATGGTTCTGTGCTTCTTGTGCAGACAATCTGGGCACTCGTTAGCGGTAAGTGCATGTCCTTCATCCTCTCAGCAGGCCTTCGCTTTAAAGCATTGTTGGGTGAGCGAGTATCATGGCACGGCGTGACTTCCCTGAAGTCGAAGTCGAAGTCTAGGCACGTCGGCGGACATGCGGATTCTTGAGCTGAATATTGCAAGGAAAACGGAGCGGATCCAGATTCTTCGACATATCATTCATTTCTCGTCGGAAAGTGTAAATGAAGTCGTCATAGTTCATTTCCAGGAGCGTTTCAGACACGTTTGTGCATGTTTAGGTGAAGAAGACGCAAACGCACGAGTCTGTCGGGTGAGGTCTTTCACACTTTCCGCAGCCATAACATCTGTCTTCTCAAGTTCGGTTTCCCTGGACTTCCTGGTCCGCAGTATTGCCCCATCTTAGGTGATCAGCGACATGTATTTGGCCAAGTATAGATCATCACGTTGTCTGGTTTGCCAACCATAGAAGTCCCAAGACCGCTAGCAATAGGACGAACTTGAAAATGCCAATCAGCTACTTCTTAACACGCCTGTGCGGTGCGGCCAAACAAATTCTCTTGGAGGGCGGAAGGAATTTGGACTCGATGAGAGCGCAATGTGGCGGACCTTTGATCGGGTTTAGGGCCGGACAGGTGAATTGAGATAGGTAGTGGGAAAGGTTCCAGATTAGGCAAGCCTGGCCAGCGTGGCGGGTCTGGCAGAATCCCTGACGCTGCGAAGTTTCTCGACTGCGTCGCTCTTCCGCTCCCAACGCCTCGTGTGCAGTGTCCTTACCTCACACTCCGGCCAGCGTGAAAGGAGCAATCAGATCCTATCACTGCGACACCCATGGCTCCTCCGCCGCCCCCTCCACCGCCATTATGCTTCCCTCTATTCCGTGGCAAGTCTCGCCGTCGATTAACCTTTTCAGAGAAGTCTGCTGTCGAATCCTTCGACTCACAGCGGTCGAGTATACAGCGACTTGACCGCGCCAACTCATACTCGCCAACTGCCACGGTCACTTCACACGCTGATGCGGCGGAAAAACTCACTTTCTCGACCGACACCCAGTCATACGACTCCGCTCGCAACCATCGCACTGATGCCATCGAAGTCAAGCCTGTTTTGCGTCGGAAGTCGACCAAAGGCAGGTCTTATAGTATGTCGACACCTGTTACTCCGCCCAAGAAGAGCCTTTGGGGATATGGCGTGGGTCTTGGGAAGAAGGAGAAGGATCGAGAAAGAGAGTTGCAGGACACAATTTACGAGGGAGAGGATTCACTTGATTTAACCCGAAATGTTTCGCAAGAGAGTCGTCCTCCGGGCTACGAATCTCCAGGCGCCTACAGTGACTCTCAGCGCTCGAGAGGTTCGTCAAATATTGAATATGTTAATCCTCTCCCACCGCGGTCCGCTCCGTCTCACTCAAGGTCGAATACCTATAATTCTAACCAGTCCAAGTCTACCGATCGCTCTGCTCGCTCTGGTAGCCGTAGTGGCAGTGGCAATGTTCCTAGACGACCACCTCTCAATGCTTCAGAATCATCTGATACCCTCGTTGGATCTGCATACGAACGCAAGATAAATGATCTTGATGTCATCCCGGAACGGGTGGACACGAACGATCGTCTCAATGCTCTTAGGGAATTGATGAAGAAAGACAATCTGGATTATTAGTGCGTAATTTTAGTCAATCGCGATGCCCTCGTGTTGACGTGAAAATCGGGGCGATGTTAGTATCGTCCCTTCGCTGGATGCTCATGGATCGGAGTATGTCGCTATTCACGATAAGCGCAGGGAATGGATCTCAGGGTACGTTGTAGTGATCTCACTTGATTTTTCCCGAATCTGAATAAGTTTACAGCTTTACGGGCTCCGCCGGCGAAGGAATTATCTCAAAGTCCAACGCCTACCTCATCACCGACTCTCGCTACTGGACTCAATCTCGCTCAGAGCTTGACGAGAACTGGATCTTAATTCCAGCTGGCGTTGCTGACGGGCCGAGGGACTGGCTAGAGTGGCTCGTTGATCGCGCCAACGAATCGCGTGTCGGCATTGATTCACGTATGATCACGCACCAGAACGCGGTGAAGCTGAACCAGGCACTTCAGAAAAAGAAGTCCAAGCTGGTCTATCCTCCTCAGAACTTAGTGGACATCATTTGGGCGGAAAGGCCATCTCGCTCGCGCGAGCCGGTCTTCGTTCAACCGCTATCATTTACTGGGAAGGAGGCAGGTGCTAAATTGGCTGAGCTACGAGCTTGGATTACGGAGCAGGCCCCATCGGTGCCGTCTTACTCGAAGGCGGAGCCGAAGCCTTCGCAGATGCAAGTTGGAACTTTAATATCATCACTTCCTAATATCGGTATGTTTTTACTATCCCATATATATGCATTTATTTATTAATCGTGCGCCTGCAGCGTGGTTGCTTAATCTCCGGGGAGATGACATTCCATTCAATCCCGTTTTTCACTCGTATCTCTTTGTTGGCTTGCAACAAGCGACCCTTTTCATCGAACCTGCCAAGATCAGCGATGAAGTCAACCAGTATCTCAAATCCATAGGGGTTGATACAAAAGAGTACAACGACGTCTGGAGCTTCTTACGCCGCAAACCTTGGGGTGACGGAAATGTGCGCATATCTTCTTGTCTCATGATGGTTGAAGCTCACTCTCTACTCTCAGCTCATTATTGCCCCAGAGACTTCACAGGCAATTGCACTCGTACTTACAAGCTTTCGGTACACTGTCATTCCCTCGTATATCGACGAAGTCAAAGCTATCAAAAATGAGGTTGAACTACAAGGTTTGCGACTTGCCTATATCCGCGATGGTGTGGCCTTCGTGAAATTTTTGGCGTGGCTTGAGCAAAAGTTACTTCAAGGCTACGAGATCACCGAGTATGAAGCTGCTTGGCGGTTGACAGAATACAGGAGAATGGGAATGAACTACATGGGTCTTGCATATGAGAACATTTCGGCGAGCGGTCCCAACGCGGGTATGTCCTCCAAGTATAGTGCTAGAGTCGGGTATTTAATTCTTACATATAGCTTTGCCGCATTATTCTCCTCGCAAGTCTACTGCCAAGGTTATTGATAGAAAAACCCCTTATCTGAAGTCAGTCTATCGTATGTTTTGTCCGATGCTAGCTGACACCTATGTTTACAGTGATTCGGGGGGACAATATCGGGATGGCACTTGCGACACTGCGCGGACTGTTCACTTCGACCGCCCTAGCGATGCTCAATGCGAAGCATTCACAAGAGTTCTCCAGGGCCACGTATGTTGAACTAATCACCATTTTCCACATTACCAATATTTGTACACAACAGATTGCTATTGACAGCGCCATTTTCCCCGAGGGGACAACTGGCGCTCAGTTGGATGTTCTAGCACGCAAGGCACTCTGGCAAGATGGGCTCAATTACCTAGTACGTTGTCATGACGCTGTCCTCATGGCTGTCACTCAATGTGTCCACGCTTTGTCCATCAGCATGGAACCGGTCACGGATTCGGATCCTATTTAAATGTCCACGAAGGCCCGCATGGGTTTTCGTCAAATGTTCCGCTCGTGCCGGGACATGTCATCACAAACGAGCCTGGATTTTGTGAGTTGTCCCAGTGTTCTGATACCAGCATTTGACTCACATATTACTTTACAGACAAGGATGGCGAGTGGGGCATCCGACTCGAGTCTGCGCTGATAGTGAAACGGGTTAAGGTGGGCGATTCGGCTTGTGTGTTCAACGTTCGCTTACGATGCCGACTGGTGCCAGACCAAAAACTCATTTGGCGGAGATGCCTGGCTCGGATTCGAGCGTCTGACCTGTGTGCCTATCCAGACAAAGATGGTGAAGGACGTAATGCTATCGAAGGAAGAGCGTCAGTGGTTGCGGGTATGTTCAATCATATTGGCACGCTTCGTCTGCGAGACATTGACTGGACTCTATGTCTGTAGGCTCACAACAAAGAATGTCTCGATGTTCTCGAACCATTCCTCGGTAAAGACAAGCGGGCGCTCAAGTGGCTCCGCAGGGAGGCCGAGCGTGGTATTGGCCTCGCCAAGGCTGGTCCCGGAGGGCTCGCTATCGACTGGGCTTGATTCCCAGGATATTATGCAGTGCATATTTTTTCATATCCCCTATGCCCATTGTCATCTGCTTTTCGTTTTGCTCTGGATCCTCCCGTGTACGAACACGTACTGTACTGCTGTGAGGGGCGTCGTAGGGCGCTTCCGTCGGTCTAACTCGGTCTACTTTCTACGTACATCTACTAGATTTCCTTCGATTTACTTATTGGAAACCCCTCCGTCTGTATTTGTCTCCTGTATCGGATTTCACCTCTCCTTTTCTGCACTGTTCGATAGCTTGATCTGTAGGTAGCTTCACTGATGTCCAGCCACGATGAATACGATTGATTTTGAGACGAAGCAAGTGTAGAACTAGCACTAATTAAGCATACATATGGATTAGTTCTGCTCTACCGTTGTCAAACGATATCAATATTGAGTGTTGTGGGGTACCTAACTTCCTCCAAGGGGCAAACATCCGTCCAAGAGGCATCACATCTTTAAGACACGCCACGTACAATCAGGACCATGTTCGTGATTATGTAGCAAACAAGCATACAAGGGTCATAACGCGTCAAGAACCATGATAGCATCTTCTATGCAAGCCCAATGGTGGACATGTGTTTTCGCATAATGGCTTCATTGACTGAAGAAGGGTACGTCAGCGGTGCGAGCGCGTGCAGAAACGGCTGCAGCTTTACCATTCACGATGATGCTTTGCGTCGCTTTGACGTCCTGCAACCCTGTGAGTAAGACCGAGAAGATTGGACGCGGTAGCACCGACGACGCACCAGCATGGACGTAAAATGCTGCGTAGCCAGCTCGATGAGATGGATCCCAATAGTGTGCGGGGAACGAGAGACGTACCACATACAACGGTCGGCGGTGGGGGTCCTTCCGCCGATGCACCTGGATGAAGTGCGCGCGGAAGTACTCCGAGACTTCCTCGTACGTATTCGGTCGATCGCCGTACGATGAGATGCTACAGAAGGAGACACGCACGCGCGTCAGGACAGCAGAACAATAAGCATAGCTGCACACATACTATTTGCGGACCTGGAGCCCAGCCTGGATCTTTTGCCTCAGGAGATCCGTCTACATTGCCCGTTCGGCCACGCGACCAGGGCAGCAGAAGGGTCGAGAGCACGCATGCACGATGGCGCGATGTGGAGACGACCAGACGGTCAGATGGAGGGATGGGAGACGGAAAGGGTGTCAGCAGGCCTGCTTTGCACTCATCGGTGATAAGGCTACGGACCTTGTTGAGCATCAGCACTAGCGCCGCTTTGTGGAGTAGCTTATTTTGGCAGACGACCGTGAAGAGCTGGAGCGAGTCGTCTATTCGGTTCGTGCGCATGTCTTCCTCGAGATACTGCGCATGACCGACAGATCATCATACATTGGAGGCGGCAAGCGGAACAGAGAACAATTAGATGGCAAAACGGACAAATCAGTTGCCACCACAGGGTTCGAAGAAGCGGTGACCGGGCGCACCTGGTCGAATGCGCTGATTGGTGCGAGGAAAATGATGGCCGTCGCTGAGGATGGCTTGGGGTCAGTACACTGCACCCGGACTGCATAGCAGAGAAATCTTCTATGCATTTCCGCACGATAGCCGCCACAGTACCATACGCACGAGGCAGGCGTCGAGGTCTATGCCTAGTTGGCCTAATTGGCAATGTCCGCGCCGGACACGGATGAGCCGGACGCCCGACGTGACAGAAGATGCAAGACACAATCCAGACACAGGATAGTGCAGCAAACCAGATGCACGAGGCAACCGGGGACGCGCAGGGCTCGCAGCGGATATCTGCATACAAGGCCCACCGGCATAGGCACAATGGAGCAAAGCCATATGAAATCGAATCGGAACGGAGAGAGAGAGACAAAGGGAGGCAAGGCACGTACCATCTTCGAAGTAAGGCACCCACGCCTGTCTCTATTGCACAGAAGTGTGGACAGAGTTGCCGGAAAGCACGTCAGCGGGGGGTGCACCATGGAAACCATCTGCGAATCGACACTTGCCTGTCCGCGCTGCCCGTCGGAAAATTAACAAGAACGCGAGAAAAGGATCAGCATGCATCTCCAGTGCAGAACGGGTGGAGTAGGACGTACAGCACCACCAACATCGTACAGCAGCCAGTTGTACGTGACTCCGGCCATGCTGATATCAAATGCATGCTCCTGTACTCCAAGAGTCTGCAGTCGGACGTGCAAAATATCCTCTGCGATGCGATGCTATCGTCAGCCATCTTGATCTTTGAGGGCAGAGAGAATCACCGCACCTGTTGTTGGAAGATAGTCCGGCTGCGCGATCCTGTGTATGCTGTTCAAGAAGCTGCAGGAGCCACAAATGAGCCCATGCGCTCCACCGAGCCCCAACAGAATGAACGCACAACGCTGCATACTCCTCTAGCTGCAGCTTGTTCTCCGCCAGTAGCCGCCGCACCGCCGGGTGATGCCACAGGTCCACGATCTCGTCCTGGTTCGCCGCCAGCGTCTTCGCGACGATGTCTGTCATGACCGGCGCCTTGGACGAGGCCCCGCCGCTGCGGATATCAGCAAACGGCCACGATCGCGTTGCGGTGGACACCGCCTGCCAGCCTGCGCGGACATACACCCCGCTCCGCCCGCCCGTCACGGTCACCCCGCCGCTGAGCTCCGACGCCAGGGCGTCCTCGCTCGCGACGAGCGGAAGCAGCTTGCTGCGTAGATGTGTGAGCTCTATGAGCCACACAGGGTCGAGGCTGCCGCCATAACCCGGGACCGTCTGCGGACGCGAATATGCGAACGAGGCCGAGGCACTGCTGGATGCCTCGCTGGAGGCGGTCAGCGTCGGGGCGGTCGTGCCTTCGTTTGTGAAGTACCCAAAGTCGACCTCTGTGAGGATCATGCGGATGGCTTTGAGGACGTTGAAGTAGACGATCGGCCGCCATGAAGGGCGCTCGTGGTCGAGGGTCTGAGAGGCGTAGTAGAGTTGGAATTGTTTTTGGAGTGTGGATTTGCCCGACTCGGCCTGGCCGAGGAGCATGACTGGGGAACGTGCATGGTCAGAACGAGCCTTGATTCACGGCGAAGTGGAGAAGGAGGGAGCAAGGCTTGAACGACGGGTCGGCGAGCAGACGACGGGCGCGCACCTTTGATCTCGCGCGGCCTGCGCCGCTTGCGGGACTCGTGTTCGCGCTGGAAGAAAGACGGCGTTCAGCTCGGCGAGCTGCCAACCACACGGAGACACACGCACCCGCAACTCTTCGTCTATCTGTGTGGAGATGCGGGCGGCCTCGACGTCGCCGATGGAGCGACGGGAGGCCGTGGGGAGACGGAGTGGGATGGTCATCGGGGACGGGTCTGGTTCAGGGAGGGGCTGGTGGGCGACGGCACTCATAAGTACTTAGGGGAGGGCGGGAGGGAGACGTGGAGATTGATGGCGGGGAGGGGACAAGTGATAGGATGAATGCATGGTGAATAAGCTGGCGTCTTGCTGATGGCAAAGACGAGGCAATGCACCCAGGAACACTGCTCGCCCGCCTTCGATCACATCCGTTTTCCAACCCAGCGACCGCGGAACCATTCTTCGCCTTCCCCTCCCACACCCATCCTGCCCTCTCCCCCCCTCCCCCCTCCCCGGACGCCGTCCAGACGCTCATCTTATTCTCCATTCCCATGTGGTCTCATCACACTCCCCTCTCACCCCAGTCTCCACCGCACTCCTGGTCCTAGCGGACGTCGGTCAGGGCGTTCTCAGATGCGACTCACCGCCGAGTCATCGGTACACGCACCGCGTCCTTCGAATTCGTAACAAGCATGCGCCAAGAGCTACACACGAGGCCTCTCATCTTCACGCAATGATACTGCGATGATCTCTCAGCAGCCAGCTTCCTGAGGTCCACATAAACGGCGACTCTCCGGCAACCTCACCGCATGGCATATACTACGCCATCTGCAGTGCACATCGACCTGTGATGTCCCAACATCCCCCGCTTCACGTTCGCCGCAGACAATCATACGTCTGCACCGTCACTCATCAGTCGAAACCCCACGCCCGGCCTTCTGATCTAAGGATATCCCACAGCTTCAAGTCCAGTTTGACAGATGGATTCGTTCATTCCGTATCCCTGGGCGTGATTTTCAGCTCCCTGTCAGACCAGATCACCGGCGTGTGAGTGACGTGCGCGTGCAGCACCGGCGCGACCAGGCTCGAAGAGACAGCTAGCATCCGCATCGGACTCTTGGTCGATGAGCTGGTCCGGCCCACACAGCGTGTGGGCGATGAGGTGGCGCGTATCAGGAGGAGCAAAACTACTAAATAGGTGCTTTTCGAAAATCATTCAATCTCAAACTCATTCAAAAGTGCTTGTTAGACCCATGAGCAGGTGTATTTCGCCTGTGAAGCTCGCCAGTGATATGATATTATAGATCCCGCATGTATCAATTTCCGAAACTCGTGTGGTATGATCGTTGATTCGGTTGTGTTGGCTGAATTCTGCGAAGTTGTTGCTCGGCCATGTGTGAACAGCTGGGGAGGTGAAGAAGGGGAGACATACTTCTGTGTGACTAGGGCGTGCTTTCATATTCCGGCGTTCGGTTTCACGATCATTGGGATTACCGAATGTGGACATGATGATACCAAATATGGAAAAAGGCGAGGATGTTATTGTTGACGACGGCATGACAAGTCGGGCACGCGTGCAGTCTCAAGTTGTCATATTCCTGCAGCCCCATGCGATATTTTATCGAGACGATTGCCAAAACATTTTGTATACTGCCCCACCGTGATCTTGATACACTAAATGCTATAAGACTTCCTCATTGGACTGGTTGACTCGGAATTATCTAAGTTTATACCATTATTCACCATCTGATAGTTTCACCTGTGGCATGGATAGACGGGGGTATCTGCGCCGAAGCGATACGAAAAATCAACAAAGACAGAGCAAAAGTGGATGTCTAGCAATTGAACAGTGCCGCTAGGCTGTGGGCCGTAGATTGCAGTTTGCGGTTTGATATCATAGCGCGTGTTGGCAGATTAACGGCGACTCCGAGGGCGGACCATGATGCATGAGGCGGCGTCATGATGCTACTTGATGCTCAAGTTCGTTGGCTGCGATACCACTGGTCTGACAAAATCACGGGCAGGCCATCATCTTTACAACGGTACAGCATCGAACACTCGTAAAAAGGAGATTCGAGTGACGAAGCGGCGAAAGATAAACGTGTGTATACGCTCATTTTGCCTTGGGATCATCCAAGCTCTTCTCTTCGTGGGAATGGTTTGCACTGGTCGAGGAATCGTCACGATAAGATATAGGCCCTCGAGTTATTGGCGCTGCCTGCCGCCAGTGACCGTCAAAATTCATACCTATCAAGCGCGTATCAGCGTATCTGTGGTCGCTATCAGATTCAGGCAGTAAAAACTAGGTCTGGATGCTGTGGAATTTGACCTTGAGCAGTTTGATCTGGCAGAATATCATCAGAACCAGAGATGCAGCAGTGACCGCGTGATGTTGACTAAATTCGAAAGATTAAAGCGGGAGCTGGGACCACGACCAGAGGTAATTCGGCGACCCCATCTTTATGGAGACTCGCGCAGGCGTGACGTGGTGGAATGATTTCAGCTGTATTGACTAAATGTTACGAGGTCATCGTAGGCAGCTGGTAGGTGAAGGAGAGGATTCTGCGCGACAATTGCGTGCTTTTTATGTTCGTGACTGTCTAGTTCAATTTAAACGACAGGTCGGGATTACCGAACATGCGTATGACGATACCAAATATAGAAAAACGCGAGGATGTTTGTTGTCATGCCAGGTCTTCGTTGACCAGGATTTGAGCGCACATAGTCTCAAGTTTTCACATCGTAGCAGCCTATGCGATATAGTATAGCATTGGCCCTCGTACTCCATAAAGCGAGACAATTTCCCCAAAGTTTTATACATTGTCTGATACAGGACCATATACACTTCCAGCGATCTTCAAATACAGAACGCTAAACGTTATAGGAACTTAATAGACTGGTCGACTCAGAGTTATCTAACTTCGTACCTTTATCCACTATTTGGAAGTTTCACCTGTAGCATGCACAGGCAGGGGTGCAGCCGCCGCCCTCGCAGACTTCGAGCACTTCAGGAGACGGTCCCGGCATCGGAGATCCAGAACTAAGGCCGACGAAGGCGACGAGGGCGAGTGCGACGAAAGTACTGATGGTGAAACGCATGTTCAATCCGTGTGAGTTGGTCTATCAGTGAGAATAGAACAGATGGGGATATCTAGCAGTTGGATGGTGCTGCTAGGTTGTGGACCGTAGGAATTGCAGGTTGCGATTTTATATGCGCATGTAGCAGGTCGACGTGTCGGGCGGCTAGCTTTGCTCCAAGGGCGGGCCATGAGGTCCTGAAGCCCTGAAGCCATGAGGCGGCATCATATGTTTCCTGACGTTGGTTGACTGCAGTATCGCTAGTTTGACAGAATGACAGGCAGGGTATCCTTTGACGGCACGCATCGGACAGTCGTTGTCGTTGAGGGCACATTCGAATCACGGAGAGGCGAGATATTATCATGTGTATGTACTCACTTAATCTTGGGAACATTCAAGTTCTCTTCTCGTGCAGATACACTGAACCAATCGAAGTCCAGTCAGGATATTGTCACGATATCTCGAACCATCGGCATTGCCTGCTAGCGACTGTCAATATCCATACCCATCAATATGCACCGATAGCGCGTATCAACATACCTGTAGCCGCTATCAAGTCCCGATAGCGAAATAGGACATTTCTATGCCAGGATGCGTGAATAAGATGTAGTGTCAACATGATGTTGACGCGTAAATTCAAGGGAGCCAAACGAAAGCTGGGACCAATGGTAACATTCGACCTCATCAACAATGAGCAGCCAGGCATTCTGAGAATGAAGCTATTCAATCTGTTATGTCGAAGTAGCATATGCTAAAGCGAGAGTATCGATCGTCACATACTCTTGAAAGTCCTCATAAGGAGGCTATCATTCCAGCTGCATCCCTAAGCATACATTCAGCCAGCTTCATCTACGACTAAATGCTTCAAGAGTCACGCACCTCAAGTGAACCTCGAGCACCATACCAGCCGCAAAATTAACACGACTTGAATAACATCCGGACGAACATTTCAACCGGTGAGCGCTGCGAAGTTGTAGATGGCGGGACAGACGTAGTTGGTGGGACAAAGATGTCTATCTGGGTCATTGTGCGGTCTGTTGGTGCGTGCACATTCCATAGAAAAAAGAGCCGGCCCGTGGAAACTCCGAACTCGATGCGGTATAATGAGATCACAAAACGCGAGGCTATCACGTTCATGTCGGCATTTTTTGACTGATCCGTTTGTCGACATGTTTCGTATATACAAAGTGTACCAACTCGTGCACTATCATAAAAACATATTCGGAATCAGCGTAGAGGTTTGAACATTGTAAACCCCAGAGCATACCGGCTCATAGTTAATGACTATATCTATACCAAGTATTGTACACGAAAAGTCTTCTGTGTCATGATGGACGATTGACATCGGAACCGGTAAGGGTGTGTCTGATATCAGCATCGGGAAATTGGTGATCCCGATAAGGATACTGAATAAGACAGTACAGGAAACTTAACTGAGCTAATACAGATATTGTTGCAATGGTCGTCAAAGGGGTGGTTTCTTCGCGACATAGGCAATTCAGGGGGATACTACAATAATAGCACAGGCTGCAACTCTCTGCATCAGTCAAGTGTGCAGGTTTTAGACGATGCTGAACACTCTCACAGCTTCGAACACTATCATTACTGAAGCTTCCAACGCAATCAAGGCTCTACAGTGCGCGCAGCGGCAGAAGTGGTCAGATTGACTGTCTCGTGCCATTCACATACAAGCGATTTCACTCACTAATTCAGTCTGAAGGTGCTGTACCTAGAGGCCAACACATCCACATCTGACAAGGCAAGTATCCGTGGGTCAACTTTTGCGTGTCTGAATTGGCGGCGCCGGGACTGGCGAAAGCAACGAGAGTGATGCCTGGACACATGCTCATGAGATGGTCGGTGAAGACTGCTTGTCGAAGTAAGTAGCGGATTGCAAGATTCGTACATATTTTATGTCAATGAGCTGGCGCATCACCCAGTGGCTGTCCGGCGACTGACGACTTGCAATTCTTGTAAGCTAATAGTACATGTATTTATGTCATAATAGTTAACATCGTCAAGTCTATTGATAGTACACTACAGGGAAACACACGAGCTAGAGCCTGCTAATATTATGACACATACCTCTTATAGCGCATATGCGAGTATCCGCTCAGCATGCGTAGTGGCGCTACACAAGGCTCCGACTCTACTACTTGCGCTGCATAGGTCTGTATAACATCCGTGGAAGTCGTCGCAAAGCTAACCCCGGCCAATTAGATTCGGGGTGAGATGGAAATGAACTAGTACTGTATTCGAAGTGTCAGTCTAATAATGATTACCATGTCAATCAGCCGCGGCAGCAGAGCGATAGCCTTCAATACTCAATACTGTAGCAGGAGACGAAAACGCGCTGGAGCTCTAGTATGGCATCAAACCGGTGCAAGCATCCAAACGAAAACTGTCAGAACATAACGGCCCAGTTTCATTGTCGTCGGGCAAAACGCTACAATTCAAAGTCTCTGTGGTGAATCGATGGAGAAATCAAGGACCCTTGGCCAGATGAAGCCTAGCAGATGATCTGGATGTAGTATCAGCTGAGAGCTCGAGCTGTCATGGTTTAATCCAAGCCATGCGGCCCATGCCAATCACAAGCGCCCGTTGACGGAGGCCACGAGTAAGCTAAGCAGAAACTGACTAGCAGTTACTGTGATGGACGCGTACCCGGAGTAAAGACGAATGCACATGAGCAGATTTCGGTGTGATTGAATTTCAAAGAACGATGGATATCATGACATTCATAGACAGTATGATGACAAGGAATGCAGAAGTTATACTAGTACAAATTCAATGACAGGGGACATCTTGCAGAATTTGAAAGCAGGTATAGTTGATCTGTGTCCCTGCGACCAAGCTGAAAGTACTAGGCACTTGCAAGCTCGATGCAAGCCAAAGAGGATACATTCTCTTCGGATGATAATATCATGTCTACCTTCCAAACATCGCCTTTCTGCGCTCCCGGACGGGCCAAGAGGCGGCCGGGGTGGAAAAGGTTAACAGTGAGCATCGCAAGGATGATCATTAGAGCATCCATGATCACTAGAGGAAGTAAGAGGTGAACGGCCGCAGGCTGGAGCACAACTCACCAAAGTAACGCTGAGTGCGGGAGAGGTACCCAGTGGAGTTGTCAGAAAGTTCCTATATGGCAAGGTGAGCGGGCAGCATCAGGCACAGAATACTCACATACAATTATACGGTACCACAATCTGCCACATGGATCGCCAGTACACCTTCAGCACCTGGAAAGCAAGGCGACCGAGACCAACGCACCGCACATGAACGCATAGGTTACTAAAGATGAGAGCAGATAGTATCTGCCATATATTCCGATCCAAGCCGTATATCGCCGGAGATGTCGGAGAAGCCAAGCGTCTGGATATGGGTCGGTCGTATAGAACTCGCAGCATGAACTCGGCTGCAAAGATCATATAGCATGTTGTGGCAACTATGAGAGCGAGCTATGAACGTCCATATGCGGTGAGGGTCCATTCCATTCATACCCACCCAGTTGGAAAGTAAATCCGGCGAGCATGACATTACAGCCCTGTAGAATCGTATCAACATGGAAATGCAAGGTGTAGGCAGAGCCGCTCACAAAAGTGGAGTTCTTGCCTGAATTGATCGCAGCGGAGGCAATGCTGCTCCCAACGACTTGTACGACCAGCGCGATAACATTCTGGAATGCAGTTGTCAATGGTCAATGTGAAGTTGAACAGGAGATTCTGAGCCTACGTAGCCGCAGAAAATAGCAGTGGTATCTGCTCCGTATCAAGAGAATTCTGAATTGACATCGGAAAAATGAATGGTAGAGAACATGACATACACCACCTAGGGCTCAACCGACTGTATTGTTGCCCAAGTCGGCGAATACACTGCTCCAGCATAATGAAGCTAGCGGCAGTGAAAAGGACTGGTGCGATGGTAGTACACACAAATCTATGTGCAGATTACCACGTAAGTTATGATAGGCTGATAGGTGGAATGTCCTCACTGCATGAGGTATGGGATAAACAGCAACAGGTTGTAACTGGACCAGACTCTTCCTATCCAGCCAATGGTTTCGAGCATGCCACAGGCACAAATGGTCGGCAAAAGCCACCACAGCCGGCTGTGGACCGTCTGAACTATATGGCTTACTGGTGATGTTCAAAAATCGCGAAAAGAATGAAGCCAGCCCGGCGTACTTGTCGATACTTTAAAAAAAACAAGGAGTAGAATTCCGATCCATGCATCGGGAGTATATCCATATAGCGAGACGGCGGAGAAAGTACTATCACGGCTAAAAACAGCGTTGTCTGCAATGCGAGAATTCATCAGCCTCTGTATGCGCCTCGACGTAGTGGAGAACATCAAGACCTTCTGAGGACATATTGAAAGCGAATGAAAGATCAGTCAAACGAAGGATGGCCAGCTCCACTTCACTCATGAAAGTCGAGCCGAGAGTTTATACACATGCGCATGGGCACGCTCCGAGAAGCGGACGAGGCCAATACTGAGCGCGCCAGCCTAAACGTGATTGTTTCAGAAGTCCCAATAAGACCTCGACTAGGACCTCATCATGGCGAACACAGCAGCAACCGGTGCTCTGCAAAGACAGTTGCGGACCTACCAGGACACCGCCAGATTATACGCCGACATGAGAACGCATGGAATGGGTTTCCCATAACGACTGGATTGCACAGCCCGGGCAACGTGTTTGGAACTGGGCGACCCGCTGGCTGTCATTTTCAGTAGATTGAGCTATTTAGGACAACGAGAAGGTGAAAGTTGAGTTGAGCGTCTGCTATTCACAACATCTGTGACAGCTCGGATATGATGTCTCAAATCGGCTTGTTCATTGCACATCAATCAATCGCATCAAGTGCTTGTAATTTTCCTATAGGTATCCGACTTAGCTGACGACAAAACATACAGGATGTAAGCATGCTCGTACTTATATCATGAAGCTCCCATATTTTAAAACGCACCCAAAATACGACGAGCAATTGCTTTATGTGACGGTGGTACTGTTTGATTCTATCAGGCGAAATTGCACTGCAATCGACTATTTCAAATAACCGTGAGATTTCCAAAATGACCGCTCCAGTGGGGAGGTCGAACGCTTCCAGCCTGTTCAGGTCACTTCATCAGCCCTGGTACGATTTTCATCGCAAGTTTATCTTGCGAGAGGAGACAGCTCCTCCGACCATGATAATCCTTGCAAGCCGTCCCAGGCTCCAGTGGCCGAGTTCGTATGCATTTCCGCGATTCCGTAATTTGTCACTGGTTCATGTCAGATCCAGGAGAGTATCCAGGGTAATGGAGGTTGGTGACGCCCATCACAGGTAAGACCGAGAATGGATTCAGAGCTCAAGCTTATGACTGTGAGAGCATGTCCTTACTCGCTTAAATCTCGAGAATGCCATGAATTGTTAGCAAGAGCCACCACTTTGGACTGCGTGGATCCACTCCAGGAACTCCTTTCTCCCTGGCCGCGTGTCGTACACGCTTCTCTTGACGTACGTCAGCACCAGTCGGCAGCTTACACTTACGGCATTTCCTCGAAGAAGAGTCTTGGCGGTGGTGGGACAAGAGGTGAATATGAGTTGACCACGGTTGTTGACGTATTCGAGAGTGCTGGTTGCGCGATTACTGCTTCATAATGTAGTATCAATACTCAGATTGAAGACGGCAGTAGATACATACCATAGGGCGGAAGCTGATAGGATAATTGTTGGGAACCCGAGGCGGGAACGACTACCATAGTGCGTGAGCGGAAATGACTCGCTATAAGATGGCAAGATCGAATACAATAGACGAGGACCGGGGATCTCAGCATAATCCGAACAAATTAAAGCATCAGAAGGCCGGAGATGTTTCTATGGAAGCAGTAGAAAGTTTGCATGAAGTGGTCTTTCACAGTACAAGAGGAGAGTGCAGGATCACGACAAGTGCAAACCAGTCGCCAGTGGCCACGCAGACATGAGCAAACGGAAGTTGCGGATTCACACACTCATATTGTAGTACACGCCGCTCTACTGGTGCTTATATTCGGACGAGAGGAGTACATGGCAGCCGCATGGAGGAGTCCGACACTGTCGAGAGGGCCATGCATGAGCAAGTAAGATGCTGAAAAGGGTAGCTCATCCTCCATGGCGGGAGTATTGTAGTCGTTTCAGTCTAAAAGTCGGGAGCATTTTCAGATACGTCGGTTGATGCAATTCTAGAGACGAGCAGGCAGCACGTCCGACACGATTGCACCGCTGAGCCAGTGTTCAAACTAAGTTCGAAAGAAGAAAAAAAAGGTTGAAGCGCCCTGGCACGACTCGTATCGGGTTATCGGCTCGCTACCTTGAGTTACCGCAAAGTGGCCGGCACCCGACGCCGCCAAGGCAAATTAGCATACCTAGCTCTAAGCCTCTACCTCCGGGAAACACTACTTCACGCGTGCTCTTGTTAAGTTCTCACTTCCAACCACTCTGCGCAAGATCTTTGCTGGTCCGAGTCAAGTTCTGGATCAGCCTGACCACGAGCGCCGTATGCTCGGACCAACATTCCTTTCGTCAAACCCCACCATGCCCACCCCAAACGGAGCCGAAGCGTCCACCGCTACACCGACCTTCGAGGACTTGGGTGTCATCGCACCTATATTGGAAGCCATCGAGCAACTCAAGTTCAAAATCCCTTCGGCAATACAGCGAGAGGTTCTTCCTCATGCCCTCCAAGGAAGAGATATTATTGGGGTCGCTTCCACAGGATCAGGGAAGACGGCCGCTTTCGCTATTCCTATCCTTCAGAGCCTGTGGAAGGATCCTCGAGGCCTTTTTGCTTGTGTGATGGCACCGACGCGCGAGTTGGCATATCAAATTTCGGAACAATTTGAAGCGCTTGGTGCTGGTATGGGTGCTCGCTCGGTCGTGATTGTCGG